AATTAATAATAAAAAAAAAAAGAGTTAATCATTTTCCAAAATCATATGAAATAACACGAAAAGATTTAATGAATAGAAATATTTCTAAAATGGCGATTCGATGCGGATAATCGAATTTCAATTTTGTTCCAAAAACCTATTTACTTCCATCTGAAATGTCCTTGTTTTTAGAAGAATCTGAAAAAAATAAAGGTTAATGGTATATTGTAAAACCTTCTGCATAATCATAAGGAAAAGGAATATTTGTTACCGATAATATAAACGAAGTAAATAGATTTATAAAAAATAAACAAAATATTTTTAATATAAATTTAATTTAAAATAAAAAACAAAAAAGATTGTAAAAAAGTAAAATGGAAGTATGGTTGTTTGTCATTATATTTCTAATCCTATGCTTATTAATGATTTAAAATTCGATTTAAGAATATATGTTGCTCTAACAAGTATAAATCCTTTAAAAATATTCATTTATGATGAAGGATTAGTTAGATTTGCAACTTGTCCATATAATACAGACAAAAATTCAAAACCAAGCAAGTTATATTATTTTATTAATTAAAGTATAATAAATAATTATTTATTAATTTAATTTTTTTAAAAAAATATAAATAAAAAAAAAATTGATTTAGATTTGTTCATTTAACAAATTATAGTGTTAATAAATTAAATACAAATTTTGTAGCAAATAAAGTATATTTTTATTTTTGTCTATTAAATAAATAAAATTAAAAGGACGCTGATAATGATAATACAGGAAGTAAATGGAGTTTATCAGCTTTCAAAGATTATTTAAAGATAAATGGCTTTAATATACAATTAATTTTTGACAGAATAGAAGATTTAGTTATCAAAACTATACTTTCAATAGAAAATAATACTAATAATAGTTTATAAAACCATGTTCCTTATATGAATAATTGCTTCGAATTGCTAGGATTCGATATTCTAATTGATTCAAATCAAAAACCTTGGCTTTTAGAAGTTAATTTATCACCAAGTCTTAATACGGATTCGCCTTTAGATTTAAAAATTAAAGGAAATTTAATTGCTGATTTATTTACGTTAGTTGGTATAGTGCCAAATGATTAAAGATATTTAAGTGATTAGACTCATATTTTATTACAAAATAATGCCTTTTCAGAAAAATAAATAAGCGCTTAATTAGAAAATCTAAATAATTGGAATAAATATAAAAATGAGCTTAACAAAGTAGAAAAATATATTATTAAAGAATCTGAAGAAGAATTGAAAAGGTAATCTTTATTTTTCTAATTTAGTTTATTTATATTTATATTAAGATGTAGAAAATTTAAAAGAATATATCCAAATGAAAGTTCTTTAAAATATAAAAATTTCTTTGATGTGGAAAGGCCTTATAATGTTTTATTAAGAAATTAGTAATATTATATAAATAATTATAATTATATATATATAAATATATATATATATATATATATATATATATATATATATATATTATAATTATATATTCATTTTTATTTTTATTATTCTTTCTCTTAAAAAATATAATAAAGTGAAATCGATAAGTTTAAAGCTAATAATTAAAACAGTTAACTTATTTATTAAAATAATTATTTAAAAAATAATAGATTTTAAAGTATTAATAATTAAACAGCTTCTTAAATTCTTTAAAATAGTATTTAAAATAAAAACAATACAAGCAAAGCTTATTTTAAATATTGAAAATTTATAATATCTAAATATAGGACATTAAAAATATTAAATTAAATTATTTTTTTAGTAAAATATATATATAAATAAAATTGTTTAATAAATACAAAAATATATGAATGTAGTAATAATTAAAAAATTTACTGTTAAAAAAATATATATATATATATATAAATATAATATTTATATATATATAATATTTATATATTAATACACATAATATTATTTTACAAAATTATAATAACTTACTAAAATTTATATAGTTATCATTAGTTAATATTTTACTTTATATATATATATATATATATATATTATTATTCAATCTTCATTAAATATTTCGTTACATTCGGCTTCATGCTTATGCATTTATTTTTTTATTTTCTTTTATTTTTCTTTTTTTTATATTTTTTTTGATTTTTAGATCTATTATTAATAAATAAATAATATTTTTGTTATTAATAATATGTATTTTTTAAATAAAAACCTTATAAACAGGTTCCTCATCAGAAGAAGAACTACAAGAACTATATAAATCATCAAAATTATATTTATTTATTTTAACAATATCTTTTTTCCTTTTAACTATTTCTTCATCACTGCTGCTTGATGATTCAGAAGAAGTCGTTTAATTTAAATTATTTTTATCGTTTTTTATATGACTAATGTTTTTAATAACATTATTAAATGAATTTTCCCACCAAGAATTATTCCATTAAAATTATTTTTTTTATTCTTCGATTCCTAACTATTATTAAGATTATAAATTAATATTTAGTTTTTTATTTTACTCCTTAATTATCTTCTCTTTTTTTAATCTATATACATTCTGTATTTCCTTATTATTCTTTTCCCAAACCATTTCCTCTTTTTATTGTTTTTTTATTTATTTTTTATTTTATTTTTTTACTCTTTCCAGCCCATTTTTTAAAGTAATTTTAAACCGAATTCACATTCGAATTTTTATTTGAAACTCCACTTCCTTTTATTAAATTAGAGATTTTATTTTTTATTATTTTACCTGCTAATATTCTATCTTTGAATTTTCTTGACATTATTTTTTATGTTTTTGAGTTTATTTTTTTATTAATGATTAAATTATTAATTTATTATAATATATATATATTTATAATTTTATATAATTTATTTTTGTACTTTATCATCTTATTTATTATAATTATAAATTATTTTTAATTTAATAATGTTTTTTTTTTTTTTTTTTAATAATTTTTGAAATTTTTTATAAAATATATATTTTATAAAATCATTAATTTTTAATTTTATATATTTACTGAGTATCAAATATTAATTTATTTCAGCTTCTAAATAACCTAATATTTATTCAACTCAATATTAAAGTTCATAATTAAATTCAGAATTTATAGTCTATTTTCTTATATTACTAAATGAATATTCTCCATTTTTAGTCGCATAAAGATATTTTTTTTACCAATACCAGTGTTTTTGGTAGGTTTATTACTGATTATATAGAATATTTTACCACATCTATATTTTATTTGAATGAATAATATTTAATAAATAAAATAATATTTTTTATATAATAACCGTTATTTTTTAATTTAATATAAACTTATATATATTTATATTCTTATATAAATTAAAATATTTTTCTGATTTATATTTAGTATATGTTTAATATAAGCATTTATTTAAAAAGAAAAAATATAATTTAATTTAGAGAAATAATATAAATAATAAAGATACAATGATTATATTTGTCTAATAAATATATTTTTAATAAATTAAATTTGCATTTTATGTAAGTCTATTATTTTATACTTAGTAATTATAACTTTATTTATTAATAATAATTTATAATCTTTATTATTTTATTTGTTAAATAATTTTAACTTTTTTTTATATATTATATTTATTCTTTCAGTTTTTTACTTAAAATCCTTAGTTTTTTTTAATAAATTAAATATTACTAATTTATGTGAAAGAGGGCATAAAAATGATTTAAATTAATAAAGTTAAAACTTAAATAATAATCATAAATTATAAAATTAATATTAATACATATAAAATGGCAATTATTTAAGAAAAAAATAAAAAAATTATATATAAAAAAATTAAATTTATATATAAATTTAATTAATATTTTATTTATTCTTAAGAATTTTTATAATAATAAAAGTATCTATTAATAATTTTTTTAATTATTTCATTTATCTTATACAAATAAAAATATATTAGTTTTTTATAAAAAATAAAATCATAAAAATTCATTTGTTTTTATAATTTTTTATATAAAACCAAGCCGATTTTGAAATGTAATTTATAATATGAAATTATATAAGTCAACATACACTTTAATTTGATTCAATATTAATTATATTTTAAATTATTTATTTTGGAACAGAAAAAAAGTCTTTGAGTTTTAAGAATAGATAAAATAAAGATATTTCTAAACAAGAACATAGTAAATGATAATTTTATTATAATAAAAAATACTATTTATTTATCGCTTTTATTTTATAAAAATACAATTTATTTATTTGTAAAAAAATAAAATATATATATATTGTTAATTAATATAAAAATATAGTATAAAATAGTTATTCAAATTAATTATAATTTAATCAAATTTAATATATATTATTATTTTTATATTAAAATAAAATTAAAATTTAAAAAAAAAAAATAATATTTTTTTTTTATTTTTTTAATTAATAAATAAAATAAGATTTCTTAAATTAAATATTTTTTATATATTTATATATTATATATTTTCCTTAATTTTATTTTTTTTATTTTCAATTTTTAAAAAATTATTAATTAATTTATAAATAATTTTTATTATTAAATGATTCTGAAACCTGAAATTATAATATATAAGTTGCTTATTAGCGTTCAAAATATTTAAAATACAAAAATTAATATATTATATAAATAATAATAAATAGATATTTTAAAATAATATATATTGATTTTAAAAATACCTTACAAAGATAGTATATGCCACTTTCCATAGTTATAAATTCATTTAAAGTCAGATTCTATTTTAAATAAAATATTTATAATTATGTGCTGCAAATATTTTGATAATAAATAAATACCCAAATTACAAAATAAAAAATTGGTTTCAAAGTATAAAATAATTTTTATCAATTCTAAAATTTTATATTGTTTTGATAATTAAACAAAATATAAAAAAAAAAATTAAATTAAATTTGATATTTTAATATGTTTTAGATTATAAAATATTTTTTTTTTAAAAAAAAAAATTATAATGATTCATTCACTATTTATTGCCATTTATTTAGTAACGAACTAAAAAAATAATAAAAAAATGTAAAATAAAAAAAATGAAAAACAAAATAATTTACAAATGCTCCATCTAATCCCATTTCAACATTTCTTACTACATAAATAGGAATTTTACTAAAAATATTTTTCAAATAAGGTCTATTATCAATATATTCTTTCATAAATTATTTTCTATTTTTTAATAAATAAGGAAGAATAGCGATTGTCATTGAACCGACTAAATAAATTCCAGAATAAGAAAGAGTTCTAATAGCAATATCTCCAATGGCATTTTCATAAATACTAATAAATAGTTTTACAACTTCATGACAAATTTAATCTTCTTCATTAACTCCATATTAGATAATTCTATGAGAAGGAAAATGAGCAGTTTCTCTTTCTTTAGAATCACTTGAATGTACTTTTTTAAGATAATTATCAAGATCAAAGAGATTTTCACCTTCATTATTTTCACAGACTAATTCAGCATCTGGGTATTTTAATTTAAAGAATTAATACATGAAAGGAATACATGGTCCTGCGAAAACATATTCTAAAGCAATAGCAGTTTTATCATTATGATACTACAACAGAAATTCATGGAATTCTTATTAAAGTTATGTAACTGCAGGAAAACTACAATGACCACCTTCTCCAGGCCAAACCTAATATACATATTCATCTGATCCTTAGTATTTTTGATGAGGAACTATCATTGAAACTCCAAGTCCTGTTCCTGGTCCACATACACTTTTTATTTTGTTATTAATTGGTTATGCATCATTTATTTATATTAGCTCTGTTTCGTTTAAATTAAGACAAGCATATGAGGCTATTTCGAAATCATTAAAAAGTTGAAATTTTTTCATATTAAATTATTTGGCAAGATCGTTTCCTAATTTATATATATATTTATTTATAGGGAATTTTTATTTTACCTACTATTTTTGGCCAGTGAGGAGCATTAGTGACACGATTTTCGTTGTTTAATACAGCTCCAGCCATTCCTACTCCTGCAAATTAAGGCCAATCCTTTTCTGAGATTCCTTCTAAAAATTCAGCTATGGCGTCTGCAAAAGAATTATATGCTGCTGTTTTCATTGATTACTGACTTCTTTATTAATGTTGGAAAGTTAGATGATTTTATAAAAAAAACTAATTTAAATCTTATATTCGTACCTCCTATATCCCCTAATAATGCTGTGTATTGTTTTTGTGGTTCTCCAGATTTTCTTAATACACCACCTTCTGATGCTATTTATTTATTACATTTCATACTATATTTAGGACCTTAAGTTGAATGAATAGCACTGTTGTGATGATAAGCTTATTCTTTATTAGAATCTGCTTTATGGAATTACAATAGTTAAGATAAAATTGATATCATTTTTTTTTTTTTAATATATATATTTTTTATTATAATAAATTATATATATAAATAATTTTATTTAAATTTCTTCTTTTTGAAATTTAATTTATATTTTAAAATAAATCTAAAATAAAATTATTTATTTTTATGCGAATTTAATGATTAATTTTATGTACTTATCATACGCATTTTTTTTAATAATCTATTATATAATATTTATTGTAATTATTGTTATGTTTATCTATTAATCTTATAAATTAAAACTAAAATATTTAATAAATTAAAATATAAAACATTATATTATAAAATAAATAAATTATTTTAAAAAAAAAATTCACAAAAAAAAAAAATTAATGACCTCATTATATGAATTATACTTTATAGAAATTAAAATATTTAATATTTCGATTTAATTGATTTAATAATATATATCAAATTTCATTTCATTTAGATGAATGGTTTATTATTAAGTTATAAAATAAATATAAATAAAAAATATAAAAAAGCAATTAATTTAATAAATAGAAATATATATATTATAAAATTTAGTAATATATTTTTATTATTAATAGATTATAATATTTAAAAATAAGCATATTTTTAATTTTTTTTAATATAATAAATTTAATTAATTTTGATAGTACTCTATATCTAAAGTTAATATAATATAATATAAAAAAAATAAAAATAAAAAATATAGCACTGTCTTATATTTGAAAATAAAATAAATAAAATAAATAAAACATAAAAAAATAAAAGATAATAGGCATAAACATATAAAAAAACAATTCTAATAAAAATTAACTTTAAATATAAAATTCAAGAAATAAAAAATACATAAAAAAAATAAGTTTTTTTTTTTTTAAAAAAAAAAATAGCTTTAATACTAAAAAGAAAATAATAAATGATAAGCAAAGCAGAATTAAATAATTCAAATATAGCTTAAGGAATAACCTAACTTAATATAAAACAAAGTGCAAATGTATGCTCTCCTCTAAGTAATATAAGTGATTAAAAAACTTCTCCTTAAATAGTATTAGAAGCTAAGAAAAACATATTTTTAAAACAAATAGAATAAATAAAAGATAAAAGACTAATAGAAAATTTAGCCTCAACAAAATCAAAGGAATATAAGCAATAACATATATAAGATTTTTGTGTAATTTTTTAATAATTAATATCAAATTTAATAGAAATAGAATACTATATAAAAACAATAAAATTTGAAGCAAATAAAAAGTAACTAAATAATGCTTTATGTACAGCTGCAAACACGAATTCTAATAGAAATGATTTAGGGGAATAATTATTAAAGGACATAGAATTAATAGCAAGCACTTTTGTAGAATTGGTTCATGAATCTAGTCTTTAACATTTATAATTATGCAAGGAAATATTTGATTTAGAAGTAAAAAATATTAATTTAAATTATGATATAGGAGGTTGGTATGAATCAATAAAAAGTAACATAGAGAAGAATATTGTTGTTAGCAAAAAATAAAATTAGAAAAGTTCTTTTTTAAATATGTTTTGTGGATGTATTAGTAATAAAAAAAAAATCCTAATAATAATAATATAAATAAATAAAATGTTAAGGCTGAGGAGATTAATTTGGAAATGTGATTATTTTTTATTACTAAAAAACAAAAAATTAAATTATATATGTATTAATATGAAATAATTTATTATTAAATTATATAAATAATTTTTAAAATAAGTTTTTTCTAAAAATAAAAAGAATAAAAGTTGTTTATTTTAAATAATTTTTATTTATATTTTTTATATCTATTTTTTATGTAAAATTTTTATTTTTTACAATTAATCTTATTTCTTTTTTTCTTTTTTTATTTTTTTTTTTTGGTGTATAAATTATATATATATATATTAGATTTTAATTATTAAAGACTTTTTATTTAGCTATTATTGATAATTTTTTAATCATTTAGATTAAATTTTACAATAAAAATTAAATTATATATCATTAAAAAAATAATTGCTTTATATTATTAATTATAATTATATTTATTTTAAAAGCAATATAATTATTATTTTGAAAGTAGTTTTTAATAATTTCTTATGAAATAAATATGCTTAAAATCAAACTTTTTATATGTTAAAAAACCTCAAAAATTTGAAAAAAATGCAATCATATTTTCCTCTTTCTAATATTTTAAATAATTTCTAGTTTTTTGAAAAAAAATTATCTTTTATTATTAATTTTTTATGTTTGTAGCTTTATAAAAGTATTAATAAATATCATTTGTATAAATGCTCATTTAAATTTTTAAAAAGTGTTTTATTTTAATATTTATTTATAAAAAAATAACAGAACACTTTAAGCATCTATATTATTTTATTTTAAACAAAAACTTCACGTTCGAAAATAATTTATCCTTAAAAAATTAGAAGGGATTCCAACCAAAGTTATAAATTTATATATTCTTAAAGTACACGTTTCTAATTAAATGCTTTGAAAATTTAAGTTAGTTAATAAATAATTTTTTTGGGAAAAATATAATGTAAATTTAATTTACTTTTATATTTTAATTTTATTAAAAAAATATTAAATGCATAAAAAAAAGATTATTAACAGTAATATTTGCTTTAAATGTATAAAAAAGTATTTATTTGATTAATAAAAAACATTAACAATAAATATAAAAATTGCTAATTTAATTAAATTAGAACTTTTTGTTATTTACTATAAATGTTAAATTATATATAAAATTTAAAAAATATATAGTAAATATTTGCTTATGTATTTCTTAAAAAAATAATATATATAATCTTAATTTTAAACTATTGATTAATTAATTTTTGTTGAATATTTTATAGAGTTTATAAATCTATACAAATTTCTATCAAAAGGATATATTTTAAATGAAATTTAGAAATAATTAATTTATTTTCAATTATTTAATATAAAATATTTTATGAAAATCATTAAAATAAAAGAATAATTTTTTTTACTGATAATATGATGTTTGTTTGTTAAAAAAGAACTATTTAAATAATTATTTATTTTATTCTAAATACACTTGAAATTGCTGAAAAAAATATTAATTTTAATGTATTAATTATATTTATCTAATTACCATTTTCTTTGAAGGGAATTGATTTGTTTTTTTTTGACTATTTTATTATTCCCTCTTTAAAATTTTATAATTCTTTTTTTACATTGTTGTATTTTCTAATATACTTCATTAAATAACTTATTTCTCTTAGACTATGATAGAAAAAGTCAATTAATATAAACTAAAAAATTATAAGATAAGTTATTAATTTTTATTTTTTCTGTTAAAAATATAAATTAGAAAAAATATATATTTTTAAAAATATAAAAATATTTAAATATAAAAATATTAAATATATAAGTAAAATATTTTTTATTTATTTTTCCTATTAAAATAAAAATGATGAATTTATTTTTATAATATATTAATTTTTTTTTTATATTTTTTATAAGACAAAATAAAAATTTATTTTTTATATTTACTTATAAATATGATAAATATAATAATTAAAATACATAATATAAGAATTAATTAATAAATATTTTGTTTTATTAGCTTTCATTATATATATTTAATAATTTTTAGTTTGTAAAAAGGGCGTATATTTCTTTTTTCATTAATGAAAAAGAAGAAAGATCCTTTTCAATATTTACTTTATCAATTTTATAAATACTAGATACTACAATTATGTATATAGTAATTTATTAATATAAAATAGAAATAATTAATTCATTTCATTTTATTTTAATATTTAAATTTAAAAATACAAAAAAAAAAATATATATATAAAATCTTTAATTTATTAATAATTTTTATATAATAATAGTTTTATATTTGTATTATATATATTTTAATTAAAATAAAAAATATATTTGTATTTTATCTAATAATTTTTTTCTTTATACTAATTATTTTATTTTTAATATTTAATAATTTTATATATCATATAAATCCAGATATCTATATATAAAATAAAATGATTTTTTTCTTTTAATAAAAAAATAAATATTTATAAATTTTATATTGATTCTGCATCTGCCATATTTTAAATAAATAATTAAGCCTCTATAATAATTTTAAAAATAGTTTTATATAAATATGAATAATGAATATAAAATAATTTTATTTCTATCAATTTTTGTTTTTGATATTTAATATACATTTCGTAAAAATAATATTCAGTCAGTTAATATTTTTAAAGAAAAAAAAATATAAATAAAAACAAAAAGGAAAAAAAAATAAAAAAAATATTAATGTATTCTTAAAATAAGATTATATTAGAAAAAAAAATATATATATATATATAGATATATATATATCTATATATATATATATAGATATATATATATATCTATATATATATATAAACATAATATTAAATTAAATATTATATATAATAATATATATTATTTTCAAATAACAAATAAAAATATATTAATTAATTAAATAAAAGAAAAAAAAAAATAAGATTTTCTAAATATGTCGAAAATTATTTATGTTTTTTTTTTAAAAAAAAAAAAAAATTAAAAGTATCTTTAAAATTAAATATTATCAATTCAAAATAAAAATTCAATAAAAAGAAATATTTTATTTCTTTATAATAAGGAAAATCGTAAAATTTAATACATGTTTAGTTAAAATAATTTAATTTAATATGATTATTTTATATAAAAAAAATCTAGAAATAAAATATTAAAAAATATAACAAATACTCCAATATTAATTCATACAGTATACATATAAAAGTTTTTTTTTTTCAAAGGATGATTTAATTAATTTTACAAATAAAATAAATAAAGCAAAAATAATAGGTTAAATTATAAATTATTAATAATAATGAATAAATAAGTCTTTTTAATAGAAATATAATATAAAATTAAAAATAAATTAAATATAAATATATTTATAAAGATTATTTACATTATAAGATTATAAGTAATTTACATGGCTTCTTTTCATTAAACTAATAGGATTTTTTAAATAATTAATTAAATTTTTTTAAAAAAGCTCAATTAAACTTAATCAATAAAAATATTTTTCAGCTAAAATAGGCTAAAAATAATTTATAATGTATTAAAAATTTAATAATTATTTTGATAAATTAAAAGAATAGTTACAATTTATTAACAGAGAAATTATTTATATAAAAAAATAATAAAAATTAAATATTTTTTCTTTTAATCAAAATAATCAAAAACACTATTTTAATAAAAAAGTTATTGTATAAACAAAAAATGTGTTTTTATCAAATAAAAATAATCATTTATTAAAAATTCAGACTATAATTTTAATAAAATACTTTAATAAACAAAGAATAATAAAATAAAGATAAAGATAAAAAAACAAGAAAAAAATTAAAATCTTTATACCAAAAATAATAATATTCAAGTAGTAATATTACAAATAATAAGAACTAAAAGAATAAAAAATCTAAAATTTAATTAAAAAATTAATAAGAAAATATATATAAAAAAGTAGAAACTAAAGTCAATATTAGTAAATTCTGAGTTAATTTATGACTTAAGTAAAATAAATTAAAATGAAGAAATTTTCTAAATAATAAATTAAAAAACACTTTCTTAAGAATTTCTAAAAAATAGAATTAACTTCTTAAATATATTATAGATTTAGTTATTTATAATAATAATATGATTATGAATAATAAATATCCTAATTAAAATTATTATTTTAATAATATTTATTAAGAACACATATTATTTAATCCTTTTATACTTTGTAGTTTTTTCAATATTTATAAAGTGCATATGAAAATGTCATACTTTCGAAAAAAATTGAATAGCCTTAATTAAAATCTAATAGTATATATTTAAATATAATATGCTTTTTATGAAAAAAATTTTATATATATTTATTACTTTTGATAGTGTTAATTCTAGACAAATCTCCTTCAAATAATTTTGTGGATACATGATTAATATAAGACTTAATTGTAAATTGTAAGTAATGTTTAGATGAATTAAGTAAATATTTTGAAATTGTTTTTTCTACGATTTCTCATTAATATTATATGGATAAAGTATATAATTATTTAGACACTTAAGGCTAATATATTGATTGATGGTATTAAAGAATAATTGCATTTAAAATTAAGAAGATTATATACTAAAGATTTAATAAAACAAAGAATTAAAAATGTTATTTTAATTAATTATTCAACATGCTAATATAAAAATTAAATTTATAATGCTATTAACTATTATACATTATTAAAAAAAAATGATATGTAAATAAAAAATAGATTAATTTTATATAAATAATTACTATAAAAAATTATATAAGAGATATTATTAAGGTAAAATAAAAGTATTGTTTATGATGATTATTAAATTATTTATAAAAATTTAATAAAATATTTATGGTATTATGTCTTTATAAAATAATATATGTGTTAAAAAGCAAATAAATAATTTATAATATTCTTAAATTATAATTAAAGTAATTTTATTAATTAAAAATTTTTATTTTCATTTCTATTTTTACAAATAATTATAAAATATGTAAATATGTATATTTATTAAAAATTATATTATTAAATTTTATAAATATTTATATATTTAAATTTAATAATATTTATTAATGAAAAAAAAATTGAAAAAAAAAATTAATATAAAAAATCATAAATGAAATAATATTTTAATATATATAATATATATATATATATATATATATATATAATATATATATATATATATATATATATACATATATATATATTTAATATAAAATATAGAAAAAAAATATATCAAACTTATGCAGTAGCACATAATTTATTTGCAGCATCTTCCAATAACTTAACAAGAACATCTTATGATTATTCTCTTTCATTTTTTTCTTAATCAATTTCCTGCTTAACTCTATTAACAAGATCTTTTAACATTTCGAAGATTGAAGCTTCACTATCTTCTCTGTTTCTTTTTTAAATTGATATAATATCATTTAATTTTTTTATTTCTTCTGCAGTTTTTTTCAGTGTCAAATTATCGCATTCTTCCCTTTCTGCCCCTTCAGATTTGACTATTTCATATAATTTGGGTAAATCACTTTCCAATGTAGAATTTAATTAATTTAAAAGTTCAGTTCTAATACGTGTTTCAGTAGAAATATCTGCTCTTAAGAAATTAACTTTTTCTTCTAAATAACGAATTTGTTTACTTTCACTTTCTCTTCTGGATAATATTTCGTATTCTAATTTTTATGATAACTTTAAATCTAAATTATTTATTTCTTTATTTCTAGATTCTAATTAAAATTCATAAGATTTCGAATTATCTTCTACAACTTTTTGAAGACGGAATATTTCTTCTTTTAAATTAGATATCTTCTTATTATATGTTTCTATTGTATTATTAAATCTTTCATCTAGGAAGTATACTTTTTGCTAAAATTAGTCTATACGGTTTGCACGGGAATTCTCTTGGTTTAAAGGAATTTAAGATAATTTTTAACTTATTTTGTTAAATCTTTCTGTATAAGGACTTGAATAACGATTTGACATTTATTTATGTATGCGTGATGTTTTATTTTTATTTATTTATTTATTTTTTTCTTTATTTGAATTTAATTTAATTTTTTTTGTTTTTATTTATTTATAATTAATCAAATATATTTTAGTTTTTTTGTAACTTTTTTTTTTATTTTTTTAAAAAAAAAAATTATTCTCTTTTATTCTTTTAATATATACTGTCAAAAGAATATTCAATATACTCAAAGTTGAATTAATTATATTAAAATAAAAAAATATATTTACATTTTTATAAATAATATTTTAATACATATTTATTTTTAATGAAATAAAATATTCTATACAATAAAATATATTGTATTTATAAAAATATATATACTACAATAATCTGCAAAAATATAAATTTATTTAAAATAAAAAATCTTAAATTAAATTAAATATATTTATATGTATAATTAGTAATAAATATTTATTTTAAATATATTAATTTTGATTTAAATATTTTTTAAAATTTATAAATTACATGTCTTATATCTAAGAATTAATAATAAACAATAATATAGAGCTTCTTATAATATTTTTTTTAAAATAAATAAATAATTTGCGATAATAATAATATATTTTAAATTTAAAATAAAAAAAGTTAGAATATATATATATATATATATTATTATAAAAAATATATATATTTAATCTAAAAACACTTTTAAAAAATGAATTAAATACAAAACTTTACTCCAATAATAGCAGTATTAACTTAACCATCTCAAGATTTAGTAATTCTTGATTAAATATAAGAGCATTATTAATATATTACATCATCATATATAAAATGGTTATGGGCAAGCGGCGCTAGAGTAATACCATTACCATACAATTTACCAGAAGAAATTCTAAATTTAATATTATCATAAGTAAATGGTATATTATTTACAGGTGGTAATTCCCTTTTATGGTAAAATGAATAGGAAATGTAAGGATTTAGTGAATATACATAAATGACAAACAATATAATAGAAAAAATAATAAAAATAAATGAAAATGGGACTTATTTACCTTTAATGGGAACTTGTTAAGGTTTGGAATAAATAATCTTAGGGATTACAAATGATGATAAGAGTTTGTAAAAATTTAATTCTTTTAATCAAACTTTAAATACTGAAATTACATAAAAAGGATTTGAAAACGGATAGTTTAATTCTTTTTGTTAAAAATATATAAAACTTATATAAAATTAATAAGTTTTATATTATAATCATAAATATGCTGTTTCTTTAGATTATTTTAATTAAAATAAAGTTCTAAACAATTTTTTTAATGTAAAAGCTATTGCTAAAGATAATGATGGAAAAACTTTTGTAGCTACTATGGAAGGGATTAGATTTCCTATTTATATAAATTAATTTCATCCTAAAAAAAAATGCTTTTGAATGGCTTAATACTGTAAAAGCAAATCATTCTGAAGATGCAATTAAAGTTGCATAGTAATTTGGGTTCTTTTTAATTAATGAAGCTAAAAAAAATAAAAATAAAATGGAAATGTAGGTATTTATGAATTTAAGCATTGATATTTTTCAAAGTATTAATATTTTTAAGGATTTTGTATCTGTTTATGTGTTTAAAAAATATCTTTTTTAAAATTATTAGATATAGAAATAAATTTAATTAGATGAAATATATAAAGATGAACAAAATGTAATTTAATATTATTAAAAATTACGTTTTTAATTTTTTATATTTTTTTTTTAATATATATGCATTTAATATATTCATAAGTATTTATAAATATTAATTATTAAAATTATTTTTAAATTAATATTATAAAAAATAAATTAAAAAAAAAAGTTAATAAATAATTTTTTCTAGTCTTTTATTTTGCTAAAAATAAAAATATTATATTAAAAAGAAACATTAATATATAAAAAAATTACTTTTTAAAATTATTATTCTTTGTTTGAAATTATTTTAAAAATAAAATAAATCGTAAAATAAAATCAATATAAAAAAATAAAAAAAAATATAAAAAATATATATTATTTTTATACATTATATTTTGTATTAAATTTATATCAAAAAAAGAATTAAAAATAAAATTGCTAATACTATAATAGTAATTATATTATTAATATAGTTGTAAAAAAAAAAAAAAACATATATATGTATAATACAATATATAAATTTATATATATATATATATATATATATATATATATATATATATATATATATACAAATATATTTAAAATTTATAAAAGTTAAAATTTTTATTATATATAAATTTATTTAGATAAATAAATAATTATAAAAAAAAAAATATTTTAAGAAAAATAAAAGAAATAATTTTAATATATATTTTTATCAATAATATTATTTTTATTTAATTATTTAAATAAAAAACTAAATTCACAAAAAATAAACTAAAGGATTGTTTACTTATATTTTATTTGCATATAACTTATTTTTTTATAATTATATAAGTATAATTAATTATAATTGATTTTTAATAGTTTTTAATAACATTTTTTTTTTTTTTAATGACTGAAAAAATTAATAATTACTTTTTAATTCTAACAGTATTAAAATCATATTTTATATTTTTTTATTAAATAAATAATAATATATCCTGTATTATTTAATAAAAAAAAAATATATTTGTTAAAAATAAATAAAAAAAATTAATATAAATTATTTTTTATTCATTTTTTGACAATAATACGTTTAAGTGTATTCAACCAATGTTTATGCACTGAAAAATCGATTTTGCATAATTTTTAATGATAATTAAGTGCATTATTTACTTATCCATTAGTAATTTCTTTACATATTTCATATAAATATTCAACTTATTCTTTTTTTAAATCAGAATTATTTAATAAAATATTCATCTAATTAATATTTTATGCATGTTCATCTTTCTTTTTAATATCAATTTAATCAAAAATAAATAAATTTGATTATAAGCATCCTTAAATAAGCATTTTTTATTCCTAACTAGGATTAAACTTTTCAACATTACTTATATTAGATGTTTTTTATTAACTATTAACGACTGGTGGGGGAGGTCCAGTAATAATATTCTTATTACTTAAATTTCCTTAATTTAATTAATTATGTGAAGAGAAACTATTTTAAGAAACTTAAGATTATTATTATTATTATTATTATTATTATTATTATTATTATTATTATTATTATTTAAATTGTTATGGCGGAACAAACGTTTTTTATTAATTTTAAGGCACTTAAACTGGAGGAACGAATTATTAAATTTAAGATATTTATTATTATTATTTATATTACATAGGTTACATTTGAGGTAATTATGCTTACATTTAAGTCTTATTTTAAGGTTGATAAGGTACTTGTTATTATTATATGTTTTATACTGGTACAGGTGGAGGTGGAGCATTTACTTGATTTTTTAGATTTTAATTTTGTGCAAATTTATTAGTTGGAGGAGGAAGATTTTTTTCTTTTTAACTTTAAAGGTTATCATTTGGATTTAGTATATGTTTCGCTTTTGTATTTTCATTTTATTATTATTATTGCTGTTTTTCAATTATGTTTTTATTAGGATTGTTTTGGAAAATTTAATTAGATGTATAATGTGGTTATATAGGAGAATTCGTACTTGCAATAATATTTTTTTAAATGTTGTTATTGTTGTTTTTGACTATTTTGCATGTTATCTATATATTTAAAGTCGAATAAGGTGTTTATGGTTTTGTGTAATTAGCTTATAGTATTTCTGGGTAAACGTTATAAAGGAAATCTTTTAATTTAGCAATCTTAAAATTTAAAGGAGTAATTGCACATTCGAGTATTTTATAAGATAGAATTTGCATATTTTTTTAAAGAGCGAGTTTAGATAGAGAAAGAAGAAGATTGTCATATTTTCCGTTTCTGGTTCTTTAAAGGATGATTTTAGAGAGGAGTATTAATTTTTGAGTGCATGAAATTTACATATAAATTTGATTTTTTTGGGGTTATTCTTCTATTAATTAAGTGTATATTTGTACTAGTTTAGGGAAGTTTTAAGCTAAAATGAAACAGCAGACTGCTGATTAGAAGTCTTTTTTTTCGTCTATGAATCTTTCGCCAAGTTTGTTCATTATTTCTTGAAATTCTTGGTTGTTTTTAGCAGAAGTTATTGCTAACCCGGCACATTCTCTCCAACTTTTGAGATCGTAGTGTTCCGAAAGGCCATTTATGTCGTCCTTAATGAGATTTCGGAAAACTTGTTTGATAAAAGAATCAGTTTAAAATGTAAAATATTCATCCATGGTAGCTTTGAACGCTTATTCGCCTTTACTATAAGCAATAAGCAGTCCTTCAGCAACTCTTCCGCATTTTAAAGCACAATCAATTGTTCCTTCGTAATTTCCAATAATCATATTTTCCTTAATAATTCGTTCTATACCTGAATCCCAATTTATGTTTTTTGAAACTAGTTCTGTTTAGAAAACTTCCTCTTCTTATTATGATTATAATAATTTTTTATTGATTTATTAATTGTTTTGATTTTAGTTAGAGGGAGTATTTGATTATACTTGTTGTTATAAATTCAAATTATCAAAAAAACTTTCAGCATCATCAACTGAAGTGAATTCATGTTTTATTTGTCTTTAAGAATTTTTATGTGCTTTTTCTTAAAAATTATTATTCGCTTAAGTCTAGTTTTAATTTAAATTCTCATGATGTTTTTTTCCAGTATAAGTTTCTGCTTTTCGTATTATTTCTTATCTTTTAAAGCCTAAAGATTCCAGGATGTCTTTATTTGTATTTAAAGCGATGCCTTTTAATAAACGCCATTAATCTTATTCGAATGTATCTTCGGTGGGTATTCTTTAAAATTTCCATTCGCATAAATAGGAAGGGTTTGTATCATCTATTACTATTTCTAATTCTTATAAAGCTGCTTAAAGTTCTTGAGAAATTTATGCTTTTTATAATATTTTCTATTTAATTTCTTATTATGTATTTTCCTTTTTAAATTAAAAATAAAATATATATATATATATATATATATATATATATATATATATATATATATTTTATTTTATTTTTACACTAAAGTATAATATATTTCCATTTGGTGCAAAAGTAGCTCCAACAGGTGGTTAATACCATTTAGGTGGATAAGCAGTTATACTATCTGAATTAAGAGTTAAAACTTGTATTTAACCAGAAGATGAAACAATGCTATAAACCGAAGGTATTTTAGACCATTAAGCGTTAATAATTTCATAATCAAGTAAATTTTGAGAGACTATTTATTTGTTTTTAACATTCCAGCAAACTACTTTATTATCTAATCCTGCTGTAATTATCAGAGAAGGGTCAGAAGTGCACCAAGTTAATGTTTAAATTCCTTTAGTGTGTCCTTCTTCTAATAAAATGACAGGTCCTTAAGGATGCCTTAAATCCCAAATTTGTAATTCTGGTTTTTTCTCGTCATCATAAGTGATAGCGAATTATAAAGGAATTTCTGGGTTCCAGGCTAGGGATAAGTGTCTTTTTTAAGATTATGATTGCAATTAAAAATTACTATTATCGTTTATTTGGAAACTTACTTGGGAAGTTTTTAAATTCCAAACTACTGCTACTCCATTATTGGAAGCAGATGCAAGAATATGGGGAACTTTTTTATTCCAAGAAATTGATGTTATTATTGATCCTTCGTGGTAGTTTGGTTCTCCTGGAGATATTATGTCGGGGTTAGTGACGTCTTTTGATATGTCAACTACAAGGACGTCTTCAGCCCCCATGGCTATAAGATTAGGTTTTAAGGAATTATATTCTATAGTATTTACGGGAGTATTATATTCTTTTATGTGAGCAAGTTTTCCAATTTCAACTTATTTTTCATGCTCTCCTCTTTTGTAACTTTGAATTATTTAGTGTGCATCATATATTATTACAGATCCGTCTTCTGTTCCTATTATTATAAGACCGAACGGATGTTAGGATGAGTCTTCTCCAAATGTTGTCCATGTTATTGATGTTGCATTCTATTATATGTATGTTTTTCCTAATAGGGTTGGTTCTAAATTCTTGTCTGCTACATCAAATGTGAATATTTAAAGCTTGGGAGTTGGGTTTTAAGATGTTTATTCAGTTATATTAAAGGATGGACGGGTTGCAGTAGCGAAACAATTACTGTTCTTTTTTGATTCAAACCAGCACATAATACCGGCATCGTTTAGTTACTTTAAAAGTGACATTTTTTTTTTCTATTTTTTTTTTTTTATTATTTAAGTATTTATTTTTTTTATTTTTATTTTTTGATTTTTTAGATATATATATTTGTTTTAAGTTTTTTTTATATAATTTGATAAAGAATTTTTTCTTATTTTTTTATTTATTCTAAATTTATTTGTAAAATTTGATTATATATTAATAATTTAATTTCTTTATGCTTTTAATACGTGGAAAACTAAGAAAAACTATTTATTTCAATATATTTATTTAATTGGAATATATTATTTTATAATATAATATATTTATAAATAATAATATTATTATATAATATTATAATATATTGTATTTTTAAATATTATAATTTAATAACTATTTATTAAATAAATTAATTAAATATAAATAATTAATAATAAATATAAATCTATTTATAAATATTTACTTTAAAAAGTTTATTTTAATATCATAAAAAATATATATATAATTATTTTATAAACATATAAATAAAAATTTAATTATTTTTAAAAAATATAAATCTTTATATTATATACATACAAATTAATGTAATTACTAACTACAATTAAATAAAAATATGAATAATAACTAAAAATATTTAAAATAAACTAATCATAAAATTTCCCTTTAAATTTTAACAAGTAAAAAACTTTTTTTAATAATTTAATGATTATCAATATCAATTAAAGGTACAACTCTATATCCTTCTCTAATTTGTTCAACTGGCAAACAATAAATCCCAATTTAAGTATCTGCAAACACATCACTATCCATAACTCTAAAAAACAAAAAAGCCAACTCTGGTTGAAAAAATTGAAATGAAATTTCCTATTAATCTTCCCAAACAGGATGAAATCCATTATCACTAATAGTTTTTGTTTTTTTAGGTGGATTTTCTTATTCGTCTATTGGTTTTCCTCTTACAAAAACTTAAACATAAGGATCTACTATAAAAGATCCATCATTTTATATTTTTGGTTTAAGTTTTTGTGCACTAATAATTTATATTTTTAGCTTTAATTTTATATTTATTCTAATGAAATATATTTTTCCGGTTTTAATAAAATTTCAGGTTTTAAAATGTAACCACTTTTAACTCCTCCGTTTTCTTGGAATTTCGCTAAATATAAAAATAAGGGCAAATCAAAAGTTTAGAAATTCAAAGCTATCAATTAGCATCCCCCCAAAAAACCTATTAAAGGGTCATAGTTTGAAGAGTCGAACCTAATTCCAGCTGGATATAATCTAATGAAATATTTAGAAGTGAATTCAATCAATTCCTACATAAATTTTTTGTAGTACATGGAAAATTTTGCCTCATCTAAAGAACTTATGTGCCAACATTTTCTTTTGAGTCATTTAGGCTCATTTTGCAGCCAAACATTGATGCTATTTTGATTAATTGTGGCATTTCTTGTACTTTATTAGATGTTTTTATTTAAATTTCACTTTATCCTTTTATGTTATGCTTTAATAATTCTATTTGTTTTTAGATAATAGGCTCATCTTATTCAGTAATGTTTTCTTGTTCTTAATTTGAAGTTTATGTAGTAAGAAGTTAATTGATGCTTTTTTAAAGAAAAATAGTGCATTTTTTACCCTAATTTTTTTACTCTACTATTTTTTTCTTTTTTTGTTATTTCTGCTATATTTCTAAAGGTAAACATTAACTGTTTTTGATAATTTGCATATAATAGTCTTAATTATTAAATTATTTTTAATTTTTTAAAACTAAATTTTCGGCTTCATCATCTTCATTTACATCGTTTATTTAAGCTTTTTAAAGTAGAAGTTAATCAAAAAAAACATCTTTATTTATCGCTTGTTCTAGTTTACCTGAATTTTTAATTATTATTTTCATTTTTAGCTTGTTTGGAGATAAATAATGTTAAATAGATTCCCAATCTTCAGGCACTTTATATAATTTATCCTTGAATATTTCTACACAAATTTATGCCATTTTTATTTACATTTTAGCACAACAATGATTTTCAAATGATAAAATTAAAGGAAATTCAGAATATTTGAAAGCGTTTTCATTAATAACTTCGATTACTTTTCTGAATAAAATCTTAGATGTTAAAGTATATCCATGGTAGATTATAGGCTCACCTTCATCTCCATCCCAACAGTCTAATTCTAAACACCTACACCCTTTTTAGATGGCGTTAATATAAGCTTAAGTAGATGAATCACCAGTCAATTAGTTAGATAGTAGATATGTGTTATGCGAAGAATTAATATAATAAGAGGTTAATGGTTGGTCCATATCTTGGTAAACTTATTCATTTTTGGGATGAAAAATTGAGTTTTTTTCACTAAAAATCAATTCGGAGAATTATTGGAAGGAAATTCTTAAAGTCTCTTAGTGTTCATGGGCTACACTTTTAAAAATATGTATAGTTTCTAAAAGAGAAATGCTTTCTTTTTATTCATTTTTGCTAAAATTTTAGTATTGGATTACTGTCATTAAGCTTTTAGTGTCATCTTCTTGTTTTCCAGTATATTGAATACAGTATTTTTAAAAAATATTTTAAATTTCGGTCTTTCGAGATAGTTTTCGGATTATTTCAACAAATTCTTTCTTGTCTATTTGTCCGTTTTAGTTTTTATCATTTTCTTAAAAAAGCTTTATTAGGTATTCTTTATTTATACTTATTTACATTTTTTTTAAGATTTATTTTATTTCTTATAAATTTAAATTCATATTTCCGTCTTTGTCTGCGTGTATAAATAGCATATCAGCTTCATGCTTTATATTATCTCTTTTTTATTCACTTACTTTTTTTATTTTTATTTTATTTTTTATTTTTACATCTAATCATAATGTTTTGCTTGTTTACGGAAATAATTTAAAGCTTTTATAAAATCTTCTTTTTCAATTTTATTTTAAAATTCTAATATTAGTTCTCTTATAGGAGTTTTTATGAATACTTTTTATTTGTCTTACTCGTATTTTATGTCATAAATATCGTTTAAGTATATTCGAGATTATGTATATTGTTTTCGAGGTGATATCCATTATAAATAACGCATATCATCCTCGTGTATATAAAATATTCGTTTATGTTTCATATTATTGTTTTTTTTGTAATATTTAGTTATGTAACTTCCGTATATAAGTTTGTTTATATAAATTAAATTGTTTAGAGGTTAACTCATTAAAATAATTTACAATATTTATATTTGTTATATATAATAATATATAAAATATTGATTTAATTATTATTTTATATATTTTAATTTAATTTTTGATTTAATAGAAAATAATATTTAATAAAGAGAATATTATATATATATATATATATATATATATATATATATATATATATTTATATGTATGTATATATATTTACTATCTTTTATATATATTTAATTATTCAATATTTATTTAAAATCTAATTGATTTATTTAATATTTTATTTTATTTTATCATTTGGTTAAGATTTTTTGTTTTAAAATAAAATAAATCTTATCATCATATTTATTTCATATAAATTAAAAATATTTGTTTTTATTTACAATTAATAATAATTATTAAAAATTTTATTTATTTATATATTTAATAAATAAAACTAAATAAAATAAAATAAAATAAAAATAATAATAAAATTAATTATATAAAATATATTAAAAATTAATTATAAATTATATATTTAATCTGATATATTTATTTACTAAATAAAAATAAATTTTATAATATTTATTTTTAGCCAAATAAAAATAAATAATAGTATAAAAAAATTATAATAAATAAATATAAAGTATTTATTAATAAAGATTTAAAATATATATAAATTTTATAATTTTTAATAAACATAAAAAAAAAAATATATATAATAATCATTAATCTTAATTTTACTATTATTATAATAAATTACTATGTTACTACTAATTATAATTTTAATTTTATATTCCATCCTATTTATTTTAAATTTATTCAACATTTTTAAAATTATCAAGCAAGCCTTTGATTTTCTCTTTTGCATCGCTTTTCATTTTTTAAACAACTTCTTATTTCATAATTTTCTTTTGTATAAAATTAATTTCCGTGAAATCTTTAATAACTCTCTCCCCATCTCCCATTCCTGTATTTAAATTACTTTATCCAACAATTTAATATTATTAAATATTTGAATTCTACATATTAGATACATTATTGCTAATATTTTATTACTACCCAGGATTAGTGATAAGTAGTTATTACTGTTTTATATATTCTTTACTATTAAAATACTCGTTTTTTTTTTTCATATAATGAAGTAGGCTTTCAATCTTAAACTATAGTTTTATCTAAAATCTTTCGTCTTCATTATATTCTTCTTCTCTTTCCCCTACAGGGATCATGCTTTTTTTCTCAGAAAGCCTTGCCAAAGCTTCCAAAAACTCTACAAAAGACATCATAATAAATCTATCATTATTAAGTTCATCAACTTAGGTCATCATGGATAAATTATAGGAAATAATAATGTCTCTTTCCTATAAGCGTTCATCTAAAAGTTCATATTTATAAACCATGTCTCTAAATTCATATACTGACATAGATTTAGTAGTCGAAAAGTATTTTTTTTCTTATTTTTTGTAATCAGCCCATTAATTCCATAAAATCTTTATAAAATTTAAATATTTTTTCATCACAATATCGCATGGTTCAAGCCAATATCTGGAAACTCTCCATTCTTAGGGCGAGTCATATTCTAAAAAATGATCGATTAAATTTTCCTCATTAAAGAATAATCTTAGGCCTTAACTATTCATTTAAGCTATTTAATTTCTTTACGAAAAATACTTCTCTTAAGATATTCTTCCTAGTTGTTCTAAAAATTCATTTCTGATTAAAACTTTGTCTGGTTTTCGATAAGTTTTTATTTTCTAAGCAACTGTGGAGGATGCCACAAATAATAAATCGGAATCCGCGAGAATGAAATTAGGAAGATCTTTATTTTGTTAATTGCTTGCTATTACTCCTGTTTTTTGGATGAATGTTGTGAATATATTCGGCGATATGCAATATATTTCGTTTTACAAACCTTAACAAGATAAATATTTATAAACTATCCTTATATATGGATAAAGAGCTTTCATTATAGATTTACATAGTTCAATATCGCCTCCTTTAGAAAATAATTTAGGTAATTTACTCACTCCCCAGTCAAATTCAAAACATTTAGCGTCTAAAGCGGCTGAATCAGCTACATAATCTCTAAAAAGGGATACTCCTCGATGCCATTAGTCTGTTTTAGTAATTCTGAAGTAAGTTTCAGGCTGTCTGGGTATGGCTTTTACTTTTGGTTCGAAATCATTTTTATTAATAATGTGTTTTTCCAAAAAAGTGTCAACGTAATTAATCATTGAAGGACATTCGTATATCATTACGGTTGAATCTAAGTATTTTACTTTGAATTTTTTGATGATTTCACCATGTTCATTTTTTTCTTCGCAAATTTTTAAACCGCTTTCAGGTAAAACTTCGAAAGGTTTATTGTCGTATTCTCTTGAATGATAGGCAACATTTTTACAAGGATCAGTGAAAAAAAAACTCACAGTCCTATTGGGGGGACACATTCTGTAAACTTGAAATATATTGGGATTTTCGATATCTCTATCCATATATACAGGTACATAATTATCAAAATCTAAGTGTAAAAAAACTGGCTCTCCCCCAAAAAGATCACTTGAAGTGTCTTTTATTTCGAATTTTACCTCAAACCATCCATCACAAATCCAACAATTATCGACTTATTTGCAATCAAAATTTTGCATTTTATTAAATCCTTTAAGTTTTACGTTTTCGATTTTTCTTGGGTATAATTGTTAAGAACTTAGGCTTTTTTTTTAATGCAAAATATAAGAATCAGGAATGTGTAGAAAACCTCTAGAATCTACCAAAGCGTGTGATTCGTTGCCTTCGATATGTAGCCCATATATGGTTTTGTTTGGGATTATAGCCTATTACATTTCTTAGCACTCGGAGACTTTAAATTAATTATAAGATAGGTCTAAATGTCGAACTCCCGATCCTTATACATTGCAGCTTTGGATTATCTTTAAGCTACATTTTAAAGATGGGATAGAACCTAAACCATTATGCGATAAGTCTATAACTCTTAGGTTTAGGTTTTCTTTTAAACCTTCTGCTATTTATAGACCTCCTTTAGAGGAAAATGTGTTCCATCTTAAATATATTTCCTATAAATACGAGTTTTTCATTAACAATGATTTTATTTCGAAGGCTACGTGGTCTGTTAGTTTATTATTTGAAATATTTAAAATAAATAAGGACATATTTTAGTATATTCCTTTTAGAATTGGCATTAGACCTAAATCAGATAGATTATTGTTTTCTAAGTTCAAACTTCTTAAAGTGTTATATTTTTTAGAATTTAATAAAGGCATTATGCCAAAAAAGCCAGTTGGACCTATCAGATTATTAGAAATGTTAATACTTTTAATAGTCTCTGGAAGACTTGTGGAAATTTTAAGTACTGAAGGTCCTGTTAATTGGTTATTGGAAATATTTATACTCCATAAATCTTAAAAATCAGAATGAAGTAGTGCTTTTGAAACCATTTCAACATATTGGGCGATATGTAAATATGAAATATTGATTTTTAATTTCTAATTTTTTAGCTTTTTTTATATGAATTCTTAATTTTTTTTGAAGTCTTTATTTAATTATTTTATGTAGTAATTTTATAAAAACTTCTACTTTTATTTAAATGGGGGCATAAGTCCTAATTGTCTAGGCATTAAACTTCGATTCAATAAAGTAGTGGAGAGCATTGCTTCTTCTATTTTATTTTGAGATTTAAAATATTTATTTTATTCAATTATACAAGCAATATTTTTGTAACTTTTTTAATATTGTAAATATTTTTAATTGTTGACTAATACTTATACATTATTATTTTATTATATTTATTAATTATTAATATTTATATATTTCTAATTATTCCTGTTTTTATTAAACCGGTTCAAATTTAACTTCTATATAGTTGTAAAAGATGTACATCCGATACTTTAATCGCTCTCAGATTTAGTGCTTTTTGCTAACTTAAAGTTTTCTGTTAGGTAAAAGGTATTATTTTTCTCAGTTTTTTCCTATAATTAGGGAAACTCTAAACCATATGCATCCGCCTTTGTTGATTAGTATGTTTTTGGTGATATATACATTTTTTCTATGTAAGGTTTTGTGTTTAGTTAATAATATTAATCTTATTAGTTATATTAGGGGTTGGTTTTTTGATTGAAACCGTAAAATGTATTCTTAAAAGAACGGTTTTGAAATGTATTTGATGCTTAAAATTATTTACAGTACGTTTGTGTGGCTTATTTTAAATCCTGAGTTGATGTAATATTTGTAAAATCTCGAAATTTATAGTCTTTGGACTACTTTACAAATGATTTGGTTAGTACTATTGTTTCTAATATGTTTTACTTTCCTTTTTAATTTACTCTTTGTAATTAGTCGTTTGTTTACATTTTATTTTATTTATTTTTATTTTTAGTTATATATTTGTTTTTTTTATTTTAATAATATATATTATATATTGATAGTTTTTCATTTATGCAATTCATAATTTTATTTTATTTTTTAACTTTTTTATATAAAGTTAATGTTTTTTTTTATTTTGACTGAATTTATTATCTTTTTTATTTGCTTAATTTATATTTTAATATTTAATTAAATTTTATTATTTAATAATGTTTTGTAAATAAATTTTTAATATTATCTTGTATATATTTTATTTAGTATATATTTTATTTTATTTTTTATTATTTTATAAGAAACAATAAAATGATAGTTAAATCCAGAAATGATATATTACATTGATTCATAAAAAAATTAATTTAGACTATAATTTAATCGGATATAAGAAAAATAAATAAATTGTTTATTAAGAATTAAATTAATAAATTAATATAATTAAAAATGATCCATATGATAGCCTATATTTTTTTTTTTGGAAATCTCCTATTTATTTATTTTTAAAATTATTGAAGTAAGGCAAAAATAGGCTTTTTCGAATTTTTAATAATTGTTTATGATTTATTCACAAAAAAATTTTGAAAAAATGAATAAATAAAAATTTATTTTCCTTAATAATAAAAAAAATTAATATAAAAAAATTTACTTTTAAGTTAATTTTATATAAAATATATATTTTTTGGAGCATCTTTCATTTTAGGCTACAATTTTAAGAAATCAAAAGCCGAAAAAAAGATGATTCTGAATATAAAATTTAACTTTTTTTATATTTTAAAAATATATAATTTTATTAAGTTTTAATCGTAAATTTCATATATATTCTCTTATATTATTATATAATTTCTTTATGTGTATCAGTTTTAACAATAATTAAGCTATTTCTAAATGAATTGTATATTTTTTCAAAATAATAAATTATTAAAAGATTTTAGTATAAGTTTTAATTTTTTTAAGAAATTATCTTCTTTAGTATTTTATAAAAGTTTTATTTTAATTTCAATTTTAATTGATTTTTATAATATCTTTTAGTGAATGCTTTCACTCTCATATTTAACTCTTAAATCAAAAGAAAGTTATATCTATATAGTTATGTTTAGTAAAGAGAAATATGGTTTTATCTATTATTTATAACTAGATATTTAATTATTTTTAAAATATATTTTGGAGATTTTGATAATTTTACTTTTTTTTATTATTATTAAATATATAAATCTTTTTTTGTTATTTTTTTTTGCTTTTTTTATTTTTTAATACTTGTTTTTAAATTCTTTAAAAGTCATAAAAGTTTTACGTTTCATTATATTATTTATTTCTTTTTTTTTATCCATTTCCTTCCTGGCTTATATATTAAAATATTAGCAAATTAAGACATTATTAATTTATCTTATTAATCAGTTATTTTTAGAATTTTAGAAATTTAGAAAGATTTTTAATTAATAAATTTATGTTTTTAGATTTATGTTAATAATAAATCCCGTTAATAATTAATTTAATTTATTTAAAAATTAATTATTTATATATCAAATATTACTTTTATATTGATATATTATATTTATTAATATATATATATAAAATTATTTTTTATTTTTTTTTAAATAAAATATTTAATAACATATACACTAATTTTTTTTTTTTAAATATTTTTTAAATATAAAACCTAAAAACAATTCTTTTAAAGAAAAATTAAATTTTATGATTCATTTTTTTCATAATATTTTTATTTATCAAATATTCTATAAAAATTATTTTAATTTTTATATAATTTTAAACACATATTCTCTATAAATAAGGCCTGAAGCTACATTTAAAAAAAATATTATCTAAATTCAAAATAATTTTTAGAAAATATAATATTTTATTAAACATGATTTTTTATATCTATTTAAACTTATATTAATTTGGATTTTTTAGTATTTTTTTTAAAAAAATATTTGGATATAGTTAAATTTAACTATTTTTTTTATTTTCTTCTTTTTTTAAATATATTGCATCTTCTTTAATATATCCATTGATTTATTTCATTGAAAAGGAGGTAAAATCAAATAATTATTTTCGAAAATATTTCTATTATAAGAATCTAAATTAGAATTACTTAATAATTTTAGTATATTTTATATATTTGCTTTGTTTAAAAGAAATCTTATTTTAATCCTTGAAATGCAGCTAATTTTTTTCCTTTTATTTTCTTGTTTTAAAAGCTATTTATTATGGTTTTTTATTTTATTTTTGATTAAATGTTTTGCATTTTCTATTAGAATTATTTTTCGTTACTGAGACATGGCTAATAAATAAAATAAGTGATATATTTTCTTCTATTACTTTATAATTTATATATATTCGTATTTCATCAAATATTTTTAGGAAATATATCAAATTGAAAAATGATTAATTATTTTAAATTTAATAATTTATACTTTATGTTATATATTCTTAATCAATTAAATTATATATTCTTAATCAATTAAATTAATTTCATTTTATTTATATTCTAAAAAATAATAGCAATAAAAATTTTGCTGTTTTTAATAATAGATCTTGCTGATTTTTAAAATCTACTTACTCAACTTATTTTAAAAAGGATTATTTATAAAAAAATTTGTAAAAAAATGGTAGCTTTGGAATAATTAAAAGGTTTTTAATAGCTAAAAAGAAGTATAAATAAAGAAAATATTCATTATTATTTTTATTTTATTTTTATATTTTGAAGTTTTTATTATACATTATTAAAAATAGAATTAATATTATTTTCTTTTTATATAAAATGATAATTTATTTAATATTTTTTTCATTTTTTATTTATTAAAGATTATATATAGGTATTTAAGAATTATTATTATTTTAAATTTTATTCTAACCCATTTTTAAATATTTAATAGTAAAATTCTTTATGTCTAATTTGTATTTTAATTTATTTTTTATAAATTATAAAAAATTAAAATAGTTAAAAGATTAAATCATAAAAAAATATAATATAATACAATATATTAGATAATTTAAATAAAATAAAAAAATTACTAAAAATTAAATTATTAATAAATAAAAGGTAAAATTAAATTTATAAAAAAAAAAATTAAAAATAAAAATAAAAATAAAAAAAAATATAAAAATAATAGAAATAAGTATTTTTAATTTTTATAAACATATATATATGTATATATATATATATATATATATATATATATATAAATAAATAATTATATAAATATATATATATATATATATATGAATATATAAATTTTTTAATTATTTTATATATATATATATTTTTCTTTTTCCATTTTTCTATATATCTTATTTTTATTTATAAAAAAATCAAATCAATAATTATTAAATATCATTTTCTTTTTTTTATTCTTTATTTGTAATATTTTATTTATTGCTTATTTTTTTCATTTCAATATTCTCTTTATTTTCATCATCATTTAAAAATTAAACCTAATTCCCTAATTCAGCAATTTTATTGACTAATTCTTCTAAATCTTCATACTTATATTCTTATAATTAGATATATTCTTTATCATCATAAAAATAAGTTTAAAGCTTCCCTGTGTATTTAAGGATTGTTCCTGTCATTAGACCTAACCCAATAGATGAAAAAAGGCTTATCAATAAAAAGCTTAATTATATGATACTCTATCTAGAAGCATCCCAATATTATTAATTATATTTAGGATATATTTGAGCTAAAACTTCAGGACTATCCATAGATTAATCTGCATTCGTAGTAATAATAAATCCTGAAATTCCTGCTATAATTCCTGGTAATCCATGTAAATTTAAAATACCGCAAACATCATGTATACCAATATTTTATAGAATCCAACCTTATAATTTAGCGTATCCGAAATTTGATACTAATCCTCCCAACATACCTATAATTACAGCTGTGCCAGGTGTAATATTCATATTAGCACTTGTACCCTAAAATTATATAAATATAAATAAATATTTTTAATTTTTCATACAATAGCAACACCTCCAGCTAAAGCCGCATTTTATAAATCAACCATATTAAATTTAGCTTAACCATTTCTTAAATGAATGGTGCAAATAAATACAATAAAAGAACTACCACATAGCCCCAAAACGGTATTTACATAAACTCTATTTTATGTTTCGCTATTGTCTTCGGTAAGGACTGCGTTAAAACAAGGCCAATAGACCCATAAAATCAAAGTTCCAGCCATTGCCATGTAGTCAGAGATATAATTAGCTTCTGTTTTTTTGTTCTCAAAAGCTTCTTTTGGAGATAATATTTTTGATACTGCTAGGCCAAAAAATGCTCCGTATATATGAATTATTGCTGAACTTCCTACATCTGCAAGTCCCATTTCAAATGCGATTTTTTCGTTTATGCAATATCCAAATGTCTCTATTAAAGTCATCAGCATTAATTAAAAAGGCGTTATTTTGCCTATTAATGCTCCAAAACTTATCAAAACAGTAGCTGATGAAAAAGATGTTAGTGCTAATGTTCGAACATTGAACATGATCTGATATGGAATATCTAAATGCCATGAACAGTTGATTATTTGAGAGAATACTGGATATATTTAAAATGACATAAAAGCAACTAAAAATGTTAATATTAGAGTACTTAATAGATAGTTGCGTAAAAAAGACATTAATAGTCCGAATCCTATGAATATCATCAAATTTGCACCCTGTCATATTTGAAAACGGTGATTTTCAGTATTTGAGAAATCATAAGAACCGAAAAAGTAAAGGTTGAATAAGCAAAATACTTCTATTATTACCATTAAGAATGTAAATTTTTATTGCTCTTTTAAGTAAACTGGATGAAAGAATTAATATTACATATTTTAAGTTTTTTTAATTTTTTTTTTTTATTTCAAATTTATTTTATATTTTATATTTATCTATTTATTTGTTTGTTTAATTTAATTCAATTAATATTATGAATTATATTATTTTTTTCTTTTATCTTAGAATAATTACTTGTTATAATAATTATTAGATATCAAATAAAAATAAATTAATTAATTTTAATAAATAAAAAAAATTAAATAATTATATATATTTGTAAAATATTTTTAATAATATAATAAAAGTATTTATAATTAATTTTATTTTCACATAAAAATATTTTCATATAAAAAAACTAAAATTATCAAATTATAATCATTATTTTTTATAATAATATCTTACTTATCTTCATCAATAATCGCATAAAATCAAACCGGAAACCCTTATCTATTTTTCGGTTTAGGAAGAGTAACAAAAACCAAAGACCTGAATTCATGGAACTTAATCCAAATTAATTAGAAGATCAATTTAGAACTTATTATATTACAATAATTATAATTCTAAATTAAAAATATTAATATAAATCATAAATCTATTAACCGAATCTGTTTATTCATGTCCATAGCATAGTAGAAATTTTAAAATCTAAAAACTCACAAGTTTCTTTATATAATCAAGGTTATTGTTAACTCCTTTTTCATCTTTATTTAAAATAATGTCTTAATTAAGCCATTATTTATACCAATCAGTCCTTATAACATCAACAAAAACCATCTTAATGAATATTCTCACATTTTTATTCCCAGTTTGAAATATACTAGATTTGTCACAATTTTTCTTTACTTACTCACTAATGTTTATTATTACTAAAAGTAAAACAATTTCTTTAAGATTTTTTCTCCTTATGTTTCATCCTTCTTCAAAATGAGCTGGAACATCTATCTACGTGAGTTCGCCATTATCCTACTAGAGTGTACTTTTAAAGCAAAACAAAATTTTTTATAGTGTACATATATTGAACTTTTTAAGGTTCAAATGTTAAGGGGAAATGCATAGGTAAGAACTACATAAGTTCTTGCCTTTGTTTAACAATATAGGTTATATAATCTTGAAAAACTTTAAAATAAATTTTTAAAGTTTATAATTATTAGTAGTATATATAATAATATAAATGTTTAGTTCATTATATTAATTTTTAATATTTTTTAAATACTTATTATATATATATATATTTTTCTACATAAAGTAAAGATTATATTTTCTAAATAAATATATTATAGAATATTGAACGCCACAAAATATTTGTTAAAAGAATTTAAATATTTTTATTCAATTTTTATTTCTAAATTATTAAATATAACAAATTAATAATTAATTTGGAATAAATTAAAAATTTTGTTAAAATATAAATCTTTTGTATTTTTAAAAAATTAAAAGAAAATTTTTATTAAAATTCAAATTTTATAACAATTTTTTTATATTTTTTATTAAATAAGAACATTATTAAATGATATTATATTTAAAATATAAATATATAAGAAATATTAAAGTTTTTTTTAATAATAGATATTTTAAAATAAAATTATAATTAATTAATATATAAATATAATATTATACATTTTTTTATATTGTTTCCATAAAATATTTGAATGATGAAATAAAATAATCAAATAATTATATTAAGCATATTACTTTTTAATAAATTTTAAACTGATTTATACTATTTTATCTATATTTTATATTATGTTTAAAATTTTAAGTGATAATGTATTTATTCAACTATGTTTATTTTTTCTTTAATAAAATTAAATAATAGAAAAAAAAATAATTCATAAATAAAAAAATTATTAATTAATAATATATAAAATATTATTTTATTTGTATAATAAATTATTTTTAAATAATATGATATTAATTTTTAATATTTTATACATTTTTTTTTATTCTTAATTTTTTATTTTTTCATCCGCAATAATATTTTAAATAAATACATGAATATTTTATGAAACAAATTTTATTTTTTAGTTTTTTCATATAAAATTTAAAATAAATAAAAAAAAAATATATATAATAAAGGAAATTATTATTATTATTAGAAAAAAAAAAATAAAAAATAAACGAATAAAAAATAAAAGTAATTAATATGTTTACTCGAATATTTTTTTTAATAATTATGGAAAATAATGAATATTTTTCTTTATTATTTATAAATATAGGATTCAAATAATTTTAATATTTTTAATTCAAATAGTTTAAGAAATATTAACACCACTATTTTCTAAAAGTATAAAAAGAAAATAAATTAATTTTATATTAAAAAAAAAATTAAAAATAATTTTAATTTTATACCTTATTAAATTAAAGGTTAATTTTATAAAGTTATAGAATTTTCCTCATCGCTTCCTTTTTTTTTTTTTTGGGTTTTTTATTATAATTTGACTAACTTTTTTTAGTGTTTATTAAGTCTCATATTTACATATTATTCAAGTTCTCGAACTTTTCTCACACTTAAAGCATCAATATCAAAAGACAATTATTAATTTCTAGTATTGCATTCTTGTTTAAGTATTTCCCAAACTCCTGTATAGGCATCAGCAGGTAATTTAAGTATATTTTACTTAAGAGTTTTTTTTTCATTTGGATTCATCGGAGTATTAATTTTCTATTATTTTTGAGTTGAAAAATATGAAAGATTTTAATTATTAAAAGCCTTCAGTGTTTTAGATTTAGAGTTCATTCCAGAGATTTCCTTTTATAATTAATTAACTTGATTGTGTAAATTTACTAAAGGATTATTGTTTTTATTTTGGAATATTTCTTGTACTTTTTATTCGAAAAATTAGTCCATTTATAATGTTACTTAGTATAAATAAGAAGACTTTGGATTATAAATATAGCTGTTAGACCATATTTAACGAATGTCTTATAAAAATTATTTATCTGATCTATATTTGTTTTATCTTAGGTTATTTTATATTGTAGATAAATCCATTGGATGTGTAATTATTTATAAATAATCAGGGCATCCTTATAACTGGGGATTTACAGGTTATAAAAATGGTCCAGCTTAGGGATGTTTTTGTAAACATGTTAATAGGTTTTGGTAATTTTAATTGTTAGGATATTTAGTTTAGGAGTGGTTTCTTTTAATTTTTTTTAAAGGTTTAGGTGTAACTAAAGTATTTATGTAAAAATTTATAGCTTTTTTTTTGCGTTTTAATTTTTCTGTAAATTGTAAAGAATAACTTTTCGGTAATAAATCAGAAATTAATTTAAATTATTTTTCAGTTAAGAAAAAATCCTATTTTTTTTTTTTTTTTAATTTTTTTTTTTTTTTTATTATTGAAATATATTAATTATGATAAGGTAAAAAAATATTAAATAAAATAATAGTATTAAATTTTAAATTATATTTATATGTATATTTTAAAAATATTTTTTTTTTAATTTTATGAAATTAATATTATTTATTTTAATATAATTAAATAATAAATGTACTTAAATTTCATCTTTCTATATTATTTATGGATTTTATATCATTATTAGTATACTTATTTTTTTTTTTTTTTTTTTTTTAATTTTTTTATTTAATTAATTATTATTAATAAAATATATTTTTTTTTTATTTATATTAACAAAAATAATTTTTTATTTTTTTTTTTAATTAAAAACATTATGCAAAAATATTATTTTGAATCAATTTTAATATTTTTTTAATAATAATAATAATATAATATAGTATTATCTAATATATTTTATTTACATTGCAATAAATTTTTAAAAAAATATATATGTATATATATTATAATAAAATAATTAAAAATATTAATAATAAATACAAATTTTAAAGTATTTGTTATTTTTTTAATACTTATTTATAATATTATATGAACATGTTTTATTATATTATATTTATAAAAGAATTTATTATAATAAAATTTTACGTGTTATTGATATATACCTAATTTTTATTTTTATATATTCTTTTATTATTTATATAGACTGTTTTATATTTTTTTTATATTTATAAAATTTTAACATTAATACTGTTAAATAAAAATTAAGATTATACAAATAAGAAAATGTAAACTAATCACACCTGTAAAGAAAATGAACATTTATTGAATCCTCCTATTTAACTTCCTTTACCAAAAGAATTCCATATAAAAACACGATAATTATTATCGCAAGCAATGCACTAGCAACATAAATTACCTGCTAATTCTATAGCTTTATTTAAATCTGAAATAACAAAACCTATACAAGATTAAGATATAGAAGAAACGCCTTAATAAGAAGCTAACTTTCATTATTTGTTTGGTGCATAAGAAACAGATTGTTATGGAATAGTTGATTTCGATACTTCTTAAGCTATTATGTTTTGCCCGAATATCCCAGAAGCATATGAAATATGGATGGTTGTAAACAGATAATCTTATTTTAAGTAAAAAAAAAAAAAAAAAAATTAAAAAAAAAAATAGATAAACTTATGCTATAAATGATTGTTTTTATGTAGAAGAACTGAATAAATACCTCGAAGAAAAAAAGCCTTCAGAAATACATTTATATGATGGAGAAAATTCTGACAGTGGACTACGTCCTTCATTGCCTACATTTGATTTTTTGGAAAAATACAAGATTGTAAAACATTAATTATATCATACATTAAATGAATTAAGAACTATCAAACACCCAGAAGAAATCGAATAATTAATGTTCATAAATAAAATTTCTTCAGATGCCCATGTTCGTGTAATGCAAAATACATATCCTCATTTAAAAGAATATTAAATGGAATCATTATTTAAATTTCATGTTTAAGAAAGATGCGGTTCTAAAGCTAAGGCGTATGATTGTATATGTGCAAGTGGATAAGGGAATGCTACTTTACATTATAATGCTAATACAAAATTGATTGCTGATAATTGTTTGATTCTTAACGATATGGGGTCTAAATATAATGGATATTGCTCAGATATTACTGTTACTTTCCCATCTAATGGAAAATTTACTCAAAAATAAAAACATATATATTAAGCAGTTTATGAGGCTTATAAAAATGTTTTGGATAATGTAAAAGAAGGAGTTTAATGGGATGATATGCATTTGTTGGCTGAAAAAACTATCCTTAAACATTTGATTAATATCGGTATTGTTGTAAATGCACCAATGGAAGAACTTATTGAAAAAAGAATTGGTGCGGTATTTTTCCCACATGGATTAGGACATTTTATTGGTATTTTTTATTTTTTAAATATATCTATTTATTTTTAATTTATTAATAAAAAAGGTTTGTGTGTACATGATGTCGGTGGATATAATCCAGGACATCCTGAAAGACATTCTTAGGCTGGACTTAAAAATTTGAGAACAAGAAGAACTCTTTAGGCCGGTAATTGTATTACTGTTGAACCTGGATGTTATTTCAAAGAACTTATTATTGAAAAAGCTTTAAATAATTAGGAATAATGTAAATATTTGGTAAAAGAAAAAATAGAAGAATATAAGGAAGTAGGAGGTGTAAGGCTTGAAGATGGAATCTGTATTACAAAGACTGGATATATCAATTTTACGAATGTCCCAAGAACAATTGAGGAAGTAGAAAAAGCTTGCGCTGGTTTACATTGGAAAAATTGAGAAAAATAAATAAATTAATATATATTTTTTAAATTTGCATTTTTTATTTATTTAAATAGAAAATATAAAAAAAATAAATAAATAATAATTATGTTCATTGTTTTTTATATGGATTATTAAAATTATTAAATATATTATATGCTTTATTAAATATTACTACATTTATTGATATTATAAATAATCCTATGCTTAATTAATAAAAGTAATCCTTTGGTTATTTTTTTAAATTGTTTATAGTATCGATTTTAGATATCTGAGCTTTTTAATCTTCACACAACTTTTTAAAGTAATTTTATTTTTCTATGTTTCGAAAATATTGGATATTTTTTATGTTAAATTGTTTTATTATTCTATTCATTTTATCCGATATACTTTAAATATAATAATTTTTATTTTTATTTTGTATTTTATATTTATCAACAAAATAAAAATTATATTAAAGAAATTTAAATAAAAAAAAATATACAATATAAAAATATAAATATATATGTTATTATGTGAAATTTATTATTGTTTTATATTTTATAAATAAAAAAATTAATTATTATTTATATATAAAAGATTAAAATAAAATATAAAAAACAGATTTAATAAAATAATATATAAATAAATATATAATTATTTTTAATATATATATATATATATATAATTTCTAATTTTTTTTTATAATAATTATAAAAATGAAATTTATTTTACATCATATTAAAAATTTCTATATTCAAAAAATTTATAATTTTATTAAAAGATTTTTATTAGTAAATAATCTAATATAAGAATTATAATATTCAAAAAAAAAATATAAACATAAAATGTAATAAAAAATAAAAAAAAGCTCTTATTTTAGTTTATCATTATAGAAATGCCTCTTAAATTTCATTATTATCATTTTGATGATTTATTTTTTTAACAACAAATATATTTATATCTGAACTTTCATTAAATTTTTCACTTTACTTTTAACTACAACATCTTGTTTTGTATTCTTCATTCATAGTACTATCTATTTTTATCTAAACACCTACACTTTTATCATCTTCTGTTACTTCTTCTTTTATTACTTAATTTGTTATTTCTTATTTTTTCTTTTCAAAAAACCCTACTATGAATACCAAAAAACTCAAGAGAACTCCAAAAAAACTAACATACATAAGCATAAACATTCCAGCTCTTTGCCCTATTTTATCACAAAAAACTCCATATAAAGCCGGAGCTGGTAAAAACCCTAACAAACCCGCAAAAATTTAAAAAAAGGAATTTCCAAAAGGCCTTAAATATTTCTAAATAGAACTAGTCATCATCCCTGTTAATCCAGGAACCATTCCAGCTCCAAAAAATAATAAAAACCAGATCAATATTGACACATATATATAATTATCAACAAAAGGAACTGGACAGGCTACTGAGGAAGACAAAATAGATAATATTAAGCAGATTTTTTTAGTATTAAAATGCTCATATCCTCCCAATTTATGTGATAATATACCACCAAAAACTACTCCTGAAGTAGGCGCAGTTAAAGAAACTAAAGAATAAGACACCATAGTGTTATATTTATCAACGTTTAGGACCCTTTGGAAATAATCAGACATCCAATATTGAATTCCGGTGACTATAAAATATAATAAACTGATTGTAGATATTGATAAGAGGTATATGGGTGTCTTTAAAATCTCTTTTAGGTTTTAAAAATAGGATTTTGATTAAATGTTTTGCTCTTTCTCAAGGATTAGTTACTGATAGTTTTCGTCTATTATCTCGTATGGTGAATATGGAGGATCCATTTGGTATATCATGCTTTGGTTTTTTTAGGCTTCAGGAGAGTTATTTGGGGATGCTTTAGGCTTTTTTTATTAATTTTTTATTAAGGAAAGTTTTTCGGTTTTATGAATTAATATTAAAAGGAAACTTATTATTATTAAAATTGATTATATGTAAAATGACCATTTATACTTTTTTTTATTATTTTTTTTAATTTTTATATATAGTATTATTATTTACATTTAATGTTTATGATATTAATGATGTTAATGTATATCCTGTAAAAATTCCTAATGGAACCCCTAAATGAAGACATGTTAACCATAGTGTTTTTTTTTAACTTCCTTTTAACTTTTTTTTATTTTTTTTATTTTTTTTATTTGTTTATTTCTTACGTCAATCCATACTGGGAAAAATACTAATAAAAATACCTTTATTTTTTTTATACATTAATTTTTAAATTTAGTACTTTTTTTTAAATATATGTAATTTTTTGTTTCTTTTCTTAATTACTTAGCAAATTCCTGTAAGAAATCTTGTAGCAAACAAAAAATAAACTTAAGTAAAAAATGTAAATAAATACAAAGTGCATGTCTAAAAAAGAATTGCTATTAATAATATGGTCTTAGAATTATTTTTTAAGTATAACTTCCCAGCAAAAAAACCTCCGAAAATAACTCCGAAATACATTGAAGTACCCAAAAGACCAAACTAAGAATTATCTATTTTAAAGTTATCTTTTATTTATTAAGAAGATGCTGGTATAATTCCATTATCTATATTTAATACTATATTTGTATATAATATTAAGATAAATGTTTTTAATAGTCCACTTTTTTAATTGTCACATTTAGATTAATTATCCATATTTTTTTATAGTTATTAATTTATATAAATATATATATATATATAGATAAAATATATTTTGATTAAATAATAAATAAAATTAAAATACGTATCAATTAATAATTTTATTTGCTTAACAAATTTAAACTGATAATTTTAAAGTATTGTTTTATTAATTAATTACTTGATTTAATTTTTATCCTTTATTTAATAAATATATACTTACGAATATATAATAAAATAAAATAATCATAAATAAAACAATTATATTTTTAATTAATTTAGAAATTAAAGCTAAATATTTTTTTTTAAAAAAAAATATAAATAAAATAAATGATTTTAAAATTAATAAATAAAAAATAAAAAAAAATATACATATATTTTAAATGCAAAATAATTAGTTAAATAAAAAAATTTATTTATATAAGAAATATAAAAAAAAGTTATTCTTACGAAGATATTAAAAATAAATAATATTTGTAATATTGATTTATAAATTAGAATATAAAAAAAATGTTAAATACAAAAAATAATTCAAATAAATATATAAAAAAAGCTAAAGTTAGATAATATATAATCATAAATTTATAATATTTAATTTATAAAAAAAAAAAATAGTTCTTAAAAATATAAATATATAATTATATGAGAAAAGAAAAATAAATATAAGAAAATATATTAGTAATTAAAAAAAACTACAAAGACATACAAAGACAATATAATAAAAAAATAGAAAATAAATAAAAAAATTAAATAAAGTGAAATAAAAATAAAATAAAAAATAAAATAAATAAAAAAAAAATATAAAAAATAAAAAAAATAAAAATAAAAAATAATTATAATAATAATAAAAATAAATAAAATAATAATAAATAAAATAATAATTAAAAAGTAAAATAATAATAAAAATAAAATAAAAAAATAAAAATATAATAAATAAAATAATAATAAAAAAGTAAAAATAATTAAAAAAAAATAATAATAAATATAATAATAATAATAAAGATAAAAATTATAATAATTATAATATAAATAATAATAATAATAATAATAAAAATATTTTAATTTTAATAAAAAAAAAATATATAAACTATTTAAGAAATAATTTTTATTTTTAATATATCATCTAAATTATAATAAATATACTATTATTAATTTTATATTTGTTTTTATAAATTTTTATTCCATATTTTATAAATTTTTTATTTCTTAGTTTTTTTAATTATACCTGAAAAAAATTATTGTGTATATTTTTATATTTAATTTATAAAAAAATTAATTTTAATTTTCGATAAATATTAATTTAATAATTCTTAATTTATTAATCATATAATACCATAAACATAAAATATTATAATAATCTTATTTTAATCAAATAATTTTAAAATATAAATATATTTAAACAAAATAAATACTTAATAATATTATATATATAAAAAATTTGATTAAAATAATAGAATTTTTCAATAATTCTCATCATCAATTGAAATTTTTGAATAAACAATATCACAACAATAAATAGTTTATAGTTCTTAATTATTTAATTTTTCTAAATTCATAAGTCTCTTAATTAGTTCACTACTCTTATCCTTACTTCCCAAAGCAATATTTCCCAAAAGCATGAATTTATTTTCTAATAAAGCTTGCAAATCAGCCTGTTAATTTTTCGCATGTCCAGCAGGGAACATAACTAATCCTGAATCTAAAATCTTTCCGTTTTCTAAAGTAATTTTAATACTAGTAGGTATTCCTTCTGGATATTTATCATCATATTCCTAACCTCCATGTTCGAAAGTTGTTTTATCAATCAAGATTCTAGTTTTGGGGTGTATTATTGCTTTATGTGAGTAATCTTCAGGGAGTAAAATGAGTGTTTTCCAAATTTCATCTAGATTAGATACAGTTTAAAGTTTTTATAAAAAATCTTAATTTTCAATTGCTTTTCTTAATAAAGTTGAAATTATATAAACCATAGAATGATCAGCAGATTACCTTGTTTTTGCATATCTTTTTTCTGGATTGCCAATAATACCGAAAGCTGGTTAATAAGCTACTATATTAATGTTTTTAATTATATCAAAGTTATCTTTATGGAATTAGATTTTGTTTTCTAAAAGTAATCTTTAAATACCTTCTAGAGCACTAGCAGATTAATGTTCATATAATCCTAATTTAAAATGCATTCCCTTTATTTTTTTTTCATATACATTTATAAATATATTTTTTTACCATAACAGCAAAATCATCACCTGATTCAGCTAAATATATGTCAAAAGGAGATTCATTATCACTTTATGTGGGTCTGAATAATCTAAATATAGCTTCAGGATTTCTAAAAATATCCATAGGACCAATGAAGCCTTTCATGGCTCTTTTTATACACATCAAAGCTACTTCTGCTGATAAGGCGGCTGAAGCACCTTTAGAATCCGAAAGTTATTTTCCTGTTCTAATGGCTCTAAAAGGTATATATGTGATACATACATTCCTATTGCATGCTCTATTTCTAATACATTAGCTCACATTAAGGCTCCATAAGTGCATATAGTGGAAATAGCTCCATAAACTACATGATCTATCTTATATTTATTTAAAGGGAAGCATTCACATAATCTACCTCTTATTTCATCTTATAAAACCATAGCTCTTAATACCAAATTTCCATTTATTTCAGGCTTTTAATGTGCGGCAGCTATTACTGCAGTATAATAGTCATTATGTCCGAATTCTCCAGCTCTATTTTCCTTTTTTTATTAAACAATTATTATTATAATTTTTAATACTTAAACTGTTTCATTATAGCCAAATACAGTTACATTAAAATCACACTATTTTATGATAAAATAATATATATATATGTATATATATATATAAATATATATATATATATATATATATATATTTATTTTTTTTATAGTTTACTTCTCTAGATGCCGAACTATTTGCGCAAACAGCTTTTTCTACAGGAACTTGCTAGTCAGAACCAAAACATCTAGAATAATTCATTTTGGGCTTTTATTTAAATTATTTTATATTTTTAGTTTTTATATATACTTAATTTGAATTTCCAATTTAATTTTCTAAAGCTTCATTTTTTAATATTTCAGGTGCATTTGCTCTTAAAGCTAGTGCTGAAATTCCGGTAAATACTGAATCAGCATGGAAGGTTTTGACTCTTTCTAATACTTTTTGACTTGGGTTTCCATGTTTAAGGAAGTTAATGGAATATTAAACTAGCTATTGGGCTTAGTTTTCAAATCTACTTAATTTTTTTAGATGGCTTATCATATTTTTTATTATTGGATTTTTAAATATTTTATTGTTAATTTTTTTAATAATTATATAAAGATATTAATAAATAAAATTTTAATTATTAAAATTATTAAATTATAGATATATAATAAAAATTAGATAAATATAATAGGTATTATATATTTAATAAATAATTAGTATATTTTTTTTATTTTATTTTTAATACAATAAAAAAAATATCATTTTTATAGATTAATGAATTCTTTTAAAAATATCTATTATTATATCATAAATTTATGAAATTTTATAAATTAAAAAAATATTATATCATATAAAAATAGTTTTTGTGTATTAAATAATTATCTTATCTATAATAATTTTAAGTAAAAATTATAGTTTTTTGGTATTTTTTAATTTTAAAATGCATATATTTTATTTTAATTGCGAAACTTATATATTTTTAATACTTTGTTATAAACATTTAAAAAATAATAATATTTGAAATTCATGAAATTCATTGGAATACTTAATAATTTATAATAATAAAAAAAATAAAGATATAATATAAATAAATAAAAATTTATTTATCTTTTAGATAAATATAAAATAATTTAATTAAAAAAAATATATATATAAGGCATTTATTTTATTAAATTTAATCAAAGAAAGTAAAATAAAAATTATCCAATTGTTTTTTAGATTAATAAAATAATAATAATGATATTTTTATATAATTAATTTTATATATTAAATAAAATATATAAATAAATTTATATATATATATATATATATTTATATTTTTAATATAAATTATTTTATTAAAATAATAAATAATTTTTTTAATATATATTTTATATAATTTTTTTTTTGAAAAATAATCTAATAAGAGTTTATTATTTAATATAATATATTTTAATATTAATTAAAACTTTATTTAATTTATTAATTTAAAGAATATCAAAATTTTATTAAGAAATTATGAACTATAATAATTTTTTTTTAAAAATAAACAATAAAATTATATAACATTCTAAATATACGAAATTCTTTATTATTATTTTATTATCTATAAAACTAATAATAAATAAAATTAAATTTCAATATGTATCTATGTCTTACATAATAGCATTTTTAAATGAAAAAGGTTCAAAAGCATATCCATCAGCCTTATAAAATTTATTTTAGAATTCAACCCAATGTAGCCTTAAAGCATGTAAAAAACATTCCATAGCATCCATACATATTAATACCATGAAAGTAATTTCTGCGAGTATAAAAAATCCAATAAAAATCTTAATATATATTTTTATAAAAAAAAAAAAATTATGTAAAAAAAATAAAATATTATATTAAATAGAAAAAGATACTCCAAAAATATCGCTTTCCTATATTGGCTATTTAATAGTTTTATCAAAAAATACTTTAGATAATTATCCATGAGCTAAAGATAGGGCCCATAATCTTAAATAAGATGCAGTATTAGAAATAGATCCTAGAACAAATTCTATAGTTTCAATAATTTAATGGACTACCAAATCTCCAAATTATTCATCTTATTCAGAATGATTATCATTTAAAGGTATATGATTTTCTAATAAAATATTATTAATAAAATCATTTTTTTTCTTAAATTATTCTAAATCTTTTCCTAAATCATCTTCCATTTAATTAAAATTAGATTCTTTAATATCCATATGATCATATTCAAGAATCTATTTTATTAGAATAAATATAAAATTATACATAAATATATATATAAATATATATTTAAAAATATATTTGTAAATAAATATATATTTATATATATATATATAATTAAATGCATATATATATTTATATATAATTTTTATTATATATTATTTATTATATATATAAATATTTTTAAATATTTATGTATACATGATTTTTTTATATTAGATTTTATTTATCGTTATTATTATTTAATAATAAATCATCACTTACTTAATTAACTTAATGCAATTTATTATACTTTTTTTATTTAAAGTAAATAATTCCAGGCTTTAAACATAACATTACTGGAACACATAAAACAGCAATTAATAAAAGTAATATTCCTACTTATTATTATTCATTTCCTCTTCCAAATACAGTTATTTCACCTGGATATGCATTATTTAAAGGCATGTCTATCATTAAATTAATAATTGATGGTGGAGATTTTTTATTTTCTAGTACTTAAGACCAATCTTATCCCCATTTTACGTAAATGAGGAAGTCCATATACCCAAAGGTCACTAAAAGGAATAATATTTAAGGGATAAATTCGAAATAGAAATCTAAATTGTGTTTAAAATATAATGCATTTAAGGCTTTCATACATACTCCTAAACTCATTTATAAAACTCCTATTATTACTGCCATTTTCATCTTAAAGGAATTTTAAAATTAAAGATCGTTTTCACTATGTCCCCATACTGGATCTATTCCTATAATTTTTTTACATATTTTTTTTACTTTTTTGTTTCTTACCAAAAGTGTATGTACAGTCTTTTATTTTTTCTGTTTTTCCATCTTCTAATACATTATAACAACTACCAAAAATATCTAAAGGAATTGACATGAAATCATTATAGATTAAACCACAAAAAGTAGCGAAAAAACCCATAAGTATTATCAAATATCTTATTTAAGTAAGATCTTTGAATATACTATTAATAGCTTTTTTAAAATAATCACTATAATAGCATAAATAGGCTCCAAAAAAAAATAAAAATAAGCCATGAGCTAAATCTCCGAACATAACTCCAAAAAGAAAAGGAAAAGTTACTATAGTAAATACTCCAGGATTTATTTCCTTTTTTTTATTTATTTAATTTTTTTAAAAAATTACTTAATATCGAGGAATACCATATGTATTTACTATTAATTAAAATATATGAGTAAATTCGTTAATTTAAAAGTAAGTAGGAGGTATTAAATTATTTTAATGTATTTCTTATAATTAACCATTTGGTAAATTCTAATTTTTAGCACCTATTGTTTATAAAGCTTATATTATTAATTCTTCTTACTTTTTAAATATTACATATATATATATATATATATAATATAAATATATATATATAAATATATATATAATATAATATAAAGTTATTTAAATATATACTTTTTTTGGTAACCAACAATTTCCGTGATAATAAGTATTTTAAACTTTAAGTAAATTAAGAGTTTAATAAATTTATTTTTCTTTCAAAACATACTAGGTAAGTATTTCAATATAAGAGTATTCACAATTAGAATTAGTTTCGACAAAAACTTATAAAAGTTTATTAATTTATAATTATGTCAATTTTAATAACTTTATTTTTTATAAATAATTAACATTATAAAAATTATATTATAATAAAAAAAAAAAATATATTTATTTTGATAAAATAAAAAATTACGCTTTTAACATCTTTTATTTATTAATCTAATTCTTTACATTTTGAATCATAATCTTAATGGTTTTAAGGATAATTATATCTTTATATACCAATTGAATCACAAAGTCTTTAAACTTTTGAATTGATAAATCCCTAAGATGATCCAGGAATTAAAGAAACAAAAACAGATTTTTAAGTGCATTTACCCTTTTATTAAAAATAAAAATATAAATAAAAATTTAAAAAATGTTTTATAAAAAAATATATATATAAATAAATATATATATATATATATATTTATATATATATATATATATATTTTTATTATATTTTAAATATTGATTTATTAAAATAAAATATACTTTAAAAGTTATTTTTTATTAATCAAAATTAATAAAATCTGTCCAATTATTACCTTTAGTAAGCCTAAATATTAATTTTTTAAATTTTAAAGTATCCTAAATATCAATTGTACCAATAATATAGTTAAGTTTAAATTCTACTTAATTATTTTTTATCTATTAGAAATTTTGAATATTTATATTTTCCATATCTAAATAATTTTCATATGATTTATTTTTGTTATTTTAATCTAAATATTAATTTCCTAATATTATTTTAGTTTTTTCCAAAACTGCTTTATATTCAATAATATGTATATATCTTTCTTTTAGATTTTCGTAGTTTTGTATTTACTCTTGTATTTATTCATATTTATTATGTAGTTATGTTTCTATTTCTTCTAAATATGTATGACCAGCTTTATTTTTGTTCTCGATTACTTATTAAAAAATATTAAAAAGTTTTTAGTTATCAAATTTAGTAGTTTTTTTTATTATTTGCAAATTAAAGTCCTTTAATTATTGTTTTATTTGGCTTATTTTCATTAACATTTACTCACATCGCTTTACAAAAGGTGTAAATGTTCTATTTAATTAAGGAGTATTTTGATTTAAATCTAAAAAATGTAATAATGATAATTTTCCGAGTTCATTTAATATTTCCCAACTTGATTCTGAGGGAAGAATTAAATGATATAAACCCATTGTTTCGCTTCGAAAAATACTCATTTTTTTTTATTTTTTAAAATATATATATATATATAATTATTTGTTTATGATTTATTTATTGTAAATTAAAAATAAATATAATTTTTTTTTTTTATATTAATTATATATAATATAGGTTTTTTATTTATTATTAAAATGAATATATATTAAATTAAAAATTAATTTTTAGATTTTATTTTTATTATATTTTTTCTTAAAAAAATAAATTATATATACATTATTATATTATTATAATTTTATTTATTTAAAATAATAACAAAAACTTAAATATTTTCATAGTAAAAGTAAAAATGAGAAGAATTATTAAAAATTCCTTATAACTTAATTAATATTTTAGTAAGGAATATAATTTAGTATATAAAAATTTTATTTTATATATATTATTAATTGCATTTATTAAATTAAAATTTAATAAAAATAATATTAAAGGAAATAAACCATCAATTTAAATAAATGAATATGCTTTAAATGCTCTATCTCCATTAGATGGAAGATACGAAAAAAATATTAGCGGATTAAAAGAATATTTTTCAGAAAAAGCTCTAATTAAATATAGAATAAAAGTAGAAATAAAATGGCTATTATTTTTGATAAATAAAAATATGGTCAAAAATGAAAAAGGTGAAATTGTTAAAATATCTCCATTAGATTTAGGTTTTTTTTTAAAAAAATACCTAAAATAATATATTATTTTATTAGTAAATCTTGATTAAATTTATGAAAAGTTTGATATTGAAATTGCAAAAAGAGTAAAAGAAATCGAAAACGTAACAAATCATGATGTAAAAGCAGTTGAGTATTATATTAAAGAATAATTAGAAAAAAGTTAATAAAAATATTTTATTTTATTATTTTAGATACAAATAATTAATTTTTAAATAAATAAAAAAAATTAGTATATTTTATTTATTTTTAAAAAATAGTCCCAGTATTTAGTTAATTAAAAGAATATGTACACTTTTGTTGCACGTCTGAAGATATAAATAATTTAGCATATTCTTTGATGCTTACTAGAGCTAAAGATAAATATCTTTTGAATTCTATTGATGAAGTTTAATTAAAACTAATAGAATTATCACAAAAAGTAATTTAATAATAATTTAAAAAAAAAAAAAAAAATTAAAAATAATAAAGTATGCAGAAAAGCCTATGCTTTCAAGAACTCATGGATAAGTAGCTTCACCAACTACAGTTGGAAAAGAATTTGCTAATTTTACTTATAGAGCAAACAGATAAATAAAACAATTAAATAATGTAAAAAATATTATTAATAAATATAAATAAATATATATATATATATATATATATATATATTATTTTATATTTAATTTATATATATTTATTTATTTAATATAAATATTAATTTTTATTTATTATCAAAGTTTAAATTTAGTGCAAAATTAAATGGAGCTGTAGGAAATTTCAATGCTCATATATTTGCCTATCCAGAATATGACTGGGTTTCTTTAAGTTAAGAGTTTATTGAAGTATATTTTTTATTTTTATATTTAATAAGTTTTTTTTATATTAATATTTAATTCAGAGTATCGGTTTAGAATTTAATCCTTATACAACTTAAATAGAACCTCATGATTCTTTGGCAGAATTTTATAATACATTATCTTTATTAAATACAATATATTTAGGACTTTCAAGAGATATATGGAATTATATATCTATATCTTATTTCAAACAGAAATCCAAAAAAAACGAAGTCGGTTCTTCTACAATGCCACATAAAGTTAATCCTATAGACTTTGAAAACTGTGAGGGAAATTTAGGACTTGCAAATAGTATAGCAAATCATTTTTGTTAAAAATTGCCTATATCAAGATTTCAAAGAGATCTTAGTGATTCAACTGTAATGAGAAATCATGGAATAGCTTTTGGATATTCAGTTGTTGGTTACAAAAGCTTGCTTAAAGGTTTAGATAAAATTGAAGTAAATAATTAAAAAATGAATGAAGATTTAGATTAACATTGGGAAGTGTTAGCTGAACCTATTTAAACAGTCATGAGGAAATATGGATTAGAAAATCCTTATGAAATACTTAAGGATTTGACTAGAGGTAAAAGTATTGTTTAAAAGAAGATTTAAGAAATTTAATTAAAAATTCAAAATTACCAGAAGATTAAAAATTATTACTTTAGAACTTAAGCCTCATAATTATATAGGAAATGCTCATATAATGGCTCATATATAAAAATATTTATGAAATTCTCTTTTTTTTATTTATTAATTTTTATATTAAATTATATTATGATAAAATAATATAAATATTTATTTTTTTGCAATATTAAATACTTATAATATATATTATAAGTATATATATATATGTATTTGTTATTTTTTATTATATTATAATAAATATATTAATAAATTTTAATACATTATAATATAATAAAAAATAATGAAATTTAATATAAATATAATATAATTATTTGTAAGTATGATTTATAATGAAAAATGTATTAAATTATATATAAATAAAATAAAATTACATATGTATATATATAATATATATTATATATATTAAAAAATATAAAATTATAATTATTTAAATTATATAATTTATATATTTTTATGTATAAATCTACGAATATTTTATTTTTAATAATTTAATGCTTTAATTTATTTCATATTTTAATAATTAACTTTATTAAATATTTTTATTTACAACATAGTTAATAATTATTTATATATATATATTATTTTTATTATGTTTTAAATATATTTTGAGTATTTATCTATTAATGAAAAAGAATTCTTGTAAAACATTTATTTAAAATATATTTTTTAAATATATTTTATTATCTATATATTCTATCTATTATTTTTTATTTTATATTGCCAATGCCAATATTTTAACTTTAGATTGAATAATATTTTTACTATTTTTAAGCATTTATCATTTTTTATAATAGATCATTCAATTTTTTATATGTAAAAATATTTTTTCTTTCTTAGTGTCTATATATATATTTATATCTATAAAAAAATATGAATATTATAATTTTATTCAATTTTTTTATTTTCACATACCTTTAAATTATTTAAATAATATCAATTATATTTTATTAGGTTATATTTTTAAAAATTGAATATTCATTTAGTAAACTTAATGATTTATTTATTAATATGAATTTTAAAAAATATAGATATAAATTGTGTAGAGGAATTTTTATTTAAAAATTATAGATTATCAAAATTATTATAATAAAGTGTGTGTAATGAAGATTTTATAATCATTATTTAAATAATATAGAACAATTTGGTTCTTTCTTAACTCATTGGATAATAACAGTAAACTAATAAAGATAACATTGCTAATAGGTAGAAGTAATGATTTAGATTTGAATTTAAATCATAAAAAAAAAAAAAAAAAAAAATAATAAGATAAGCTTTTTTTGTTATCATTGTTTTATTAAATGTTTTTTTATAATATTTATAAAATTCATATAAATTATATAATAATTCTTTTTATTAGAAAAATAAATAAATTATCATATTATTATATATTTTAAATAATTAGTTATATAATAAAAAATTATGATATTAATAAATAAAGTTTAATATAAATTAAAAATAATATATTAATTTCTATAATATATCATTTTTATTTTTAAACATAAAAATAATTGTATTATATATATATATATATATATATATATATATATATTTATATATATATATACATATATATATAGATATATTTACATATATTTACATTTATATTTTAAATTGCACAAAAATAATAATTAACCCATATAAATTAAAATAATTAAAATATTAGATACATAT